GCCGGCGGTCGGGGTTTGGGGGAGTCTGGAGTCGGGAGTGCGGAGTTGAGGAAGGAGCGCTCGAGTTTCCGAGGGACATTGGAACGCCGAGCTGTCCGTCACGCGCTCATCTGCATATTCCGGGGCCCGCCCCTCCCCTGCTCCGCCCGCCGCCTGGGCCCAGCGGGGGCCGAGGGAGGGGCGGGGAGCGCGGCGGAGAGGCGGGACCGGGAGGCGGAGGAGAGGCGGCGGCGGGAGGGAGGGACGCGCAGGCTTTTGTGGCGCAGCCGCCTCTCGCCTCTCCCGCCCCAGCCGGCAGCCCGAGGCCTGCAGCCTGGCCCGGCCGGACTCTGCGCCTCGACTCACCCCTGTCCTTGGCAGGTCCCCATCGCGCTCCGGAGGGAACCCCCGACCCCGGAGCCTAGTCACCTCCTTCTTCGTACAGGGGGCTCCAGCCAGCCGCTGCCGGCTTCCTCTCGCACCGGCCAGCAGAGGCCTGGCGGCGTCTACCTGGGGACGCAGGGATCGTGCACCCCTCGGCACCCTGAAGATCCCGTCCCAGGTGACTGCGTCCGTGTCCCATGCGGGAGCCGCTCCGAGCTGGAGGGCAGGGTGGGGGCACCCGCGGAGTTGTTGGGTGGCGTGGGCGAATCTCACTCCCACTTCCCTCTGTCCGCCTTGCCTTCAGGCCGAGGCTGCTCGCGTGGCCTCTCGCCTAGTCGCCTCCTCAGCCAAGCATCGAGCCGGATCCGGGAGCGCTTAGGTTTGGAAGTACCCGGAGGCCCCGAGATGAGCCTTCTGCCCCACGTCCGCAGAGGAGATTGCTGGGCCTTGTGTGTTCGGACCTTCCATGCCTGAGAACGCCTCGGCTCTAGCCGCCAGTGAGTGATTCGCCGTGACAAACATCTCCCCCCCCGTGCCCCCCAGAGAGTTTGGCTTTCTTTTGTTTAAGTTGAAACCTCCTTTGAATTCGGGGAAGGCGGCAACCAGAGAGTTACTTCTGACTTGTCTGGAGTCCCTGCCACCTCGGGAAGGGCCGGGGCCGGCTGGCGAGCCAGCTCGGGTAGCCTGAGGTTCGGGAGGTGACTCTCGGCCCTTCGGTCAGTTCCACCCTCGCAGCTCCTGAGTTCGCCTCGCATCCACCTTCACCATCTGGAACCTGCGATGGCCAGAGAGGGCGCCGGGTGACTGGGCTGGGAGGTTCACCAGCTGGGGAGCTCTGGGGGCTCGGAGGGGTCGGATGTGTGCTGGCCCGGGAGAGGGCGCCCACCCAACAGGTGTCTCTTCCCGAAGCCGACTAGGGGTGTGAGGGCGCTGTTGGCTGGGGCGCAGGACTGAGCTCAGAAGTGCTGCTGCCACTCCATCCTAGGTGTGCTGGGAGCCAGTAGAGAGACCTCAGAGGTGTCGGGTGTGTCTGGGGCCCCCGGCTCGGGCTGCTGCGGCTGGTCAGCTCCAGGCACCCAGTGAGTGCTGTTGGAGCCAGAATGCTTTTGCCTTTCCCCAGGTCCCTGGAAACCAGGTGTCAATTGCCTTGGTGGATTGGTCAAGACCTCCTTTTCTTGGATGGTAGGTTCCTCCAGGTTCTCTCTCCCACTCCCCCAGTCCTCACCGCCCTCCCCCCATTTTAATCCACCCTCGCCACTCCAACAACCCTTACAGGTCCCTTCACCAACCACCTCCTTAAAGTCTCAATGCACGTGCAGAATCCCTGGCATCACCCATGCAGATCCCATGTGCGGCAGGAGGACAGAGAAGAGAGACAGAGACAGAAACAAGCAGGGCAACCAGATGGAGCCTGCACAAAGCAATTTTGGTTTTCCAGGGAAGGAATTGCTTTTGGATGAGGCCCTCAAGAGATCCTCATGTACAAACAGCCACGGCTCAGATTGAGGACATTTGAGTTAGCTTCCCATTAGATTGGTTTAAGTTTTTTTTCAAGTCTATAATTTTTATCTGGGGGATGATTGGCCTGAGGTGTTTCCCTTTCTAAAGAGTAATTTCCTGCTATGGTTTCAGAGAGGTTTGCCTTACCTCC